ACAACTCAAACACGGAACGTTATTTCGAAGATAAATGGAAAACTGTTAAACTCTCTCAGTGTCGCGTTACAGCCGTATTTTCAATAAACGAAAACGACGAGCTCTTGTATAATGTGCAATTCTCATTTGCCTTTTAACTCTGTCGTAACCACCGGCGGACGTGTAAATCTCAGTTACATTTTTTAACGAGACTCTCTGAAGTAATAAACAAATAATAATAAAATTATACGTTAGGTAAACATCAGTTGATCGCGAAAGGGGTTAAATGCGATTCCACGCGGAGTGAATTTTCCCTTAAAGTTTATTCTTGAAGATCGTGTGATCGCGGGACAACGTGGCACTTTGAACAACTCTTTGAGTTTTCGTCATACATTTTCCCAGCAAAACGTATGGCTAAATTTCGAAAAACCCCCGTAAAATTCTTCGAAACGCCCACGATTGCATAATTCTCCGGATCAATTTGAAAAGAAAATTCTCCCCGCGTTCACTGAGAAAAATTTTCGTCGTATACACCAATTAAATGACGTTTCCGATTGGTTAATTTTTCCGATTAAATTAACCCGATGAAATTTGATTGAAAAACCGATCGCATTTTTCATCGGATATCCAACCTAATCGGACACGTCCGTTTGTTATTACGTAAATGGATTACCCGATTGTATTTAACCGCACATTTTTCTGCGCGCACGAATTGATCCGCGCGGGAATTCCTCGAGCGTCGCCCGCAGCTTCCGTCCGGCGAGGATCGATCTCGCGGGACGGGAAGAACACGTTCGAGCGATCGAGAACCGAGACGGGCGAGAGAAGCGGCGGCGAGAAATAGCAGCGCGCGCGGATCGTCTTGCGACATCGTGACCTCGTGGCTGAGATGTTTGGCTGCGTCGTCCGGCCGACACGGTCGGTCGGCGCATCGGCGCGGCCCGCGGCGTTACGCGCGCGCACAGCACGCACACACGCGCGCACGCATACACACACGCACGCACGTGCCGTACGCGCGTTACGTAGACGCGCAGTATTATCGCTGTGTTATCCCCCGGCGTACGTGTCCGCACCCACACGCGCGCCGTCAGGTACCGGGCGACGCTGCGGCGCCCGTTTGCTCTCGTTGCCAGACTCTTTGGCGGCTTGGCGTCCCACAGGCTACGCGCTGCCATCTCCGGTCCCCCTCCCCGCCTCGTCTACCCCGCCGTCTCACCCTCGCAACACGTCATCTTTCTCTTCCTCCTTTGGTCCTCGGTCTCTCTCTCTCTCTCTCGTCCTCCTCCCGCCCCTCTTCCGCCCTCTCCTTTTCGCGCCGTTTCCAACGACGTCGTCTTCGCCGATGTCCGAGAGTGGCATTGAGGAAGAGTCGCGTCTTTCTTTTTTCTCAGCCCCCCCCCCCCCACCCCACGCCCTTCTCCGCGTTTGGGATCTTCTAGCCGAAGAGGCTGCGCTGTAGCCCGCTGTTATCGATGCTACCGTATCGTGTAGAGATCGTCGTCGCTCGATAAGGAAAAAAGGAAAAACCTACTCCGAGGCGCGCGCGCGGTTGCGAGATATCTGATTTCAGCGGCGGTTGAGCGTCGTTCATTTTTAAGGGTGTCATCGTACTCGCGCGACTTAATTCCGCCAGTTAACCCAGATTTGCCCGTCGTCCTTCTAGGTGGCTTCATTTGCGTTCATCTATTATCATTTCTCAGGGCGGCGGCGATATCGCCGTGTTTGCTCATCGTCCGTTCTGGAAGGCCGCCTTATTTCAAAGAGATTAAACAATTCTTTTCAACTGTACGCTCTGTGTTTTTCTTGCACTTATTACGTTCACAGGAATAAAGACTCGTATGTCGCCTTCCCTCTTTCGGGTAAAAAGCTCCAGGCATTTATATCCGGCTTAAGTGAGAAGATGTGGTCCATTATGCACAATGTATATATGCGTCGTATGGATCGGGTCCGTTTTCAAACAGAATTAGGCGGGATGTCCAGATTTGCAGCGAGCGTCGGAGCGCGAGAACCGGGGGAAAAGGGCTCGGTCGTTTAATTAATTTAATTTACCCGCGCAATATATCCCGAAATTAATGAAATTCGTTACCGCGTAACATAAATTATTTTCGGGGGAAACCCAGAGTGCGCGCCGTCGAATGGTGCGTGAGAGACGCCCCGGCTTTTCAATCAACCCCCTCCCCGCGCCCGTTAGGAATCGAATTACCGGAGTTGGCGGGCGCGCTCAATCGGGGGTTGCCGGAGCGGTTTCACTTCCCGCTCCGGATCGAATCGTGCGGAATCCTCGACGGCTTCCCCGACGGATCGAATCTCATTTAGATTTCCACGGTGAGATACTGTACTCGTGTACGCGCCCGCCCGAGAGAGGCACGCGGGCGGGCTGGGGAGAAGGAGAAGGGCCCTTCCGGTGGAAGCCGTGGCACGCGAACGGCGTGTGTGCGTTTTATTTATATGCACACGTGCGCGCGTTGCACGAGCGGTGACCGCGCGCGGAACTTCGGCGTCGCGTCGCGTCGCGTCGGCTCGGGCGAGCCTGGATTTCGCGAGATTTAACGGCCGCGCCTGCCGGGAATACGTTATCGGGCGGTTTCGCGATGAAGCTGCAACCCGGGGCAGCGCGCGGCGCGCTGCCGTAAAGCCCGCGTCCCACGATACGGGATTCCGGAGCGCGCCGCGTGACGTTTACACGGTGCTCGCCCGCGTGGAATACAAAGAGAGTTAAGATACGGGCGAGGAGAACAATTGAGGAGAGGGCCCAGGTGGAAGGGGGAGGAGGAGGAGGAGGAGGGAGGTCGAGCGGCGCGCACTTGCCTCAAGTAGGCCTCGTTCCCGCCGCGCGGCGGATGTTACGTATGCAAAAATTCGCCGAGGTCCGCGGGGAATTAACGAATCCGCGCGCCTTGGCGAACGCTTCGAGTATTCCCCTCGTCGCGATACGTCGCAATCTCATTTAGACGTTCGGCTTACGCTCGACGTTCGATTATCCCTTCGAACTATCTTCCGCACGGTCGGTTATACGTACATTATCGCTGGACCGAGTCTGGAACTCTCTCCCTCTCTCGTCAAAATAGAGAGTACGCTACAAACATTGCAGTTTATGTCCGTACGGGAAAAAAAGGTGCTGTTGAATTGAACAAAATGAAGTTGCTTGAATGAAAACGTTAACGTCACGAGCTGCCACAAACATGAATAATTCACTCAATTGTATTCGCTATGGATTTTAATTTTAAGCATTGAACTAAATATCCAGATTATCGAGACGACAGTCTGACGTTTGTCGTTTATTAATACTGATGTTGTTTCGACGATTTTGTTTCAATTACCCTGATCTCGTTGATACAACATCATTCTCTTTTTCCGTGCGTAAAACAGAGGCTGCACTATAATGCGTGTACATTTATTAAGATCTTAAGGAAGGAGTAATAATGTCAGAAATAATAGAGGAAGAACAGATAATCAACATTATATCAATTTACAATAGGAGCGACTGGAAAAACATGGAAAAGACGATAACCAATTTAGTGGAAGGAAGAGAAATGTATTGTCATAGGAGGAGACTTGAATATTGAGATCTCTTTTGTATATGTATCTTCTATAATTGAGATTAATCGGAAGGTAGGACGTAGGACTAAATGAACATCACCGGTACCCTTATACATGACCGAACAATTCTTTACTGCAGAGAGCTACGTGCTAGAGAGAGGGAGAGTTACAACTGCGAGAGAAAGGGAGGGAGGGGAGAGCGCGTTCGCAAAAGCACACAGTTCGTCCAACAGAAAAGAGTATAAAGAACAAAATTAAAAAGATACTAAAAGTGTTCGTACGTAATGATCTTGAAGAATATGCTAGCGGGGAAATTAAAAAATAGATTAGAAATTGTGGGAAGTGTGGGTGTAAGACAAACGCGACAGACCGGGGACACTGTAATGCAATTCCGTCGAACGAGTGCACGGAAAATGTACTTTGTATGAAGGAGCGAAAATGTATAACGCATTGCCAGCCCGGATAAAGAGTTGCGAGAAAATCGAGCCGTTTAAACGAATGTTGAAAGAGTGTATTGTAAAGAATGTAAATTAATGTATATTACATTATAGCTGAGAAAGCTAATAAAGATCGATCTCTCTCTCTCTCTCTCTCCCCCCCCTCTCTCTCTCTGTTTCGATATTCTCATTTCACGGTCGAGTAGCAGGCATCTCGAGTGACTGCGGACAATGGTTTGATAAAGGCGAAGGCGCTGCTCCGTCTCTCCCTCGCGTCGCCGATATCGGGGGCGACTCCTCTCCGTTTCGTCGCCGATGGTTAATTAAGCAGCGGGAGCGCGCCTCGATCCGACGATCGAGTGGCACCTTATCGATCGCGAGACGGTATAATTTGGCACGTGAACGCGCCTCGTCCGAGCCGGGCTGTCACGTGCGAGAGGGCCACGTGGGGGGAGAGGAGAAGCGGAGCGAGGCCGGTGCGAGGGCGTCTTAAGGCGAGGCCACCCGGCCTCGTTGATTAATAAGGGTGCGAGAGAGCTACCTTCGCGTTCCATTCTCCCGCGCTCCTCATCCGCGCGCCCCGGCTCTCTCGCGCCACGTTCGTTCCCACGAAAGCGCATTCCGCGGCGGCGGCGGCGGCTCGGATTTTGAGCGACGGCAGTTTCGATTAGCGAATCGCGTGTGCGTTTGTTAACCCCTCGCGCGGCCCATTTATTCTCCCCTCGCCCTCCCCACCCCGGGCATTTTATTCGGCCCCGAGAGGCGCGGCCGAGGCGAACGTTGTTCTCCCATTTTTCTTTTGTTACAGCAACAGCTCTCCACGGCCGATACGGTAACGCGTTTAGAATGAACTTATATTTGCCCGGGCATTATGTACAATGTAACCGTCGGAGAAATGGATTGTTGTCGGTGATTTAGCAAGACGCCGCGCGTCGATTAATCTCGCGATCCTCTTTGTAGCCGGAAGGCGAACAACGATACTCTCGGCACGCGGGGGAAAAAATTGCGGAAGAGAGAAAGGAAAATTGTCGGAAGTGTACTCACTCTCCGACGCGTTCGCCGTTCCAGCAACGTTTGTCGGGGTAATCCTCGCAGATCGCGTCCGCCAACGTGCCGTAGAAGATGCGGGACCTGACGACGCTCGCCAGGAAGTTGGCCAGCTGCTTGTGCAACTGGTCCACCAGGTCGTCTTGCGCGTGAGACGACGGCGCAGCTGCGTGCCGCGGTTCCACGCCGCTGGACGACGGGGACGACCTCGCAGCTGCATCCGAGGACACTGGGCTCTTCTCCTCGGGCGGCAGCAGCTCCGAGCGACCGCACACCTTCCTCACCTGAAAGCAGATCGAATCCATCGATCCCGCCGCTCGTTACACATACGCGAGATGAAAATTCCACGAGAAGCTTGGCTATGTATAGACCGAGCACCGGTGATTTTCCTCAATTATTAACGACGACTAACAAAATCACTCGAAAGGAAACGAGAAAACCGTGTTAAGCTCGTATCGGAGACCACGGATTGAGATTGAGATTGGACTGAAACTCGACCGATCGGAGTTAAGTTCACTAATATCTTTCGCAATAAAGTTTCTGTATTATTAAAAGTGCCAGGTATGGTCAAGAAAACACTGGCGTTGTTAATTACCGCTGGCGACGTTAAAGAATTCTTATTAGTTTAATGAATTTTACTCCGATTGGTCAAAGCTATAAGATGAAATTGAACGTCTCGACCTCGGGCATCCTCAACAAACACAATTGAAAACGCACAAGGGGAAGCCACGGTAAAAGATGTCAATTTTACGCCGGAGCACGGGTCCATTCTTGACTAGACTCGGCCGAAACGCCGCGTGTTCCCTTTCCGATCCTACCGGTTCAATTATCGCAAACATGATTCGTAAAGGGAGCGAATGCAACATTAACGATATGACAGATGGCGGCCTTCTTTTCAACCGAGGGAGAAATCGAGCGGATCGAAGTGGCCGCGATGCGAGAGACGGGTGCTCGCCGACGTGTCCGGGACACCCCGTTCATCAGCGCGCCGCAGCTGGCTGCAAGTGTACGGTAAACCGCCGTATAAAGATCGGCCCGGTAAAAATTTCCGCGCCCCGGCTCTTACGGCGCGGCCGTTCTCTGGGAAAAAGAAGACAGCAGCCCATTTTGGGGCCCACAATTAGTAATCGAATTATTTGGATTGTTCCTAACTCTAATCTTTTACGAACTTTATCCCGCGTAACTAAAAATCGCAATTAGCTATTCTAGCTATATCCCAGATTTCAAAGTAATTAATACTCATCAATTCTCTCAATTAGTTCTGTCGCTATTCAGTAACGCAGAGATAATTTTCACTTAAGGGGATCCTAACGTTGCCTGTCGACATTCTTTGTTAGAAGTAATCTTTTAATTGGCTTTATAGAAATGCAAAACTCTTACACGGAATTTAAGTACGCGGCAAAATCTAGACTGTGCTGGTCGACTTTATATCAAAAACGAAACAAAAAAAATTTTACTAATTTTGAGCCCGTATCAGACTCCCGACTCTGACTCGACTACTGACTCGGACTCCCGACTATGATTCAACCAATTAGAGCGGCGTCTATTCCCGAGTCGGCAGTCAGGGTCGGCCGGTGCTTCGCTGTGATTGGTTGAATCATAGGGCTCAGTAGTCGAGTCAGAGTCGGGAGTCTGTAGTCTGATACGGGCTTAAGAGGCGCTAACCGAAATGTTAAGTTAACTACAAGAAAAACGGTCAAAATTTTTCCCGGAGTAGAGTTACGAACAATCCAAATAATTCGATTACTAATTGTGGGCCCCAAAATGGATTGCTGTCTCTTTTTCCCCAGAGTATCAGCGCGCCGCAGCTGGCTGCAAGTGTACGGTAAATCGTCGTATAAAGATCAGCCCGGTAAGAGCTTTCGCGCCCCGGCTCTTACGGTTGGAAAGTGTCGCCGCGGCGAAACGACTTGTTCCGAACGACGTCAATTTCTCGACGATTTAATAGGCGACGCGCCCTGACAGTTCTTTTTCACGCTCGGCCGCGTCACGCCGCGTTTCGGCGCGTTCACGCGTTAATCAAGGCGTGCACGCGCGCACATGTACTCGCCAAAGAGTAATTCCCCGTCCCAAGGGCGACGCGACGGGGCTCTTTCTCGGGGACATTTTTCTAAAGCGCATTGAAACACGTGAAACATTATGACAGCTGATGGCGGTATTTTTACAGCGTTCTCGGGATTTTGCAAGACTCGACGAGAAATAGTGTAGCGCGCGTCTTTTTATAGCGTAATGTCCGTCTGAGATGTCCAGAGACCGAAACGTGCGCTTGCCAAAAGCGCAACTTTTCTCGTCTTCTTCCGCACGCCAGCCACGTGTACGTGTGTACGTGTGCGCGAGCCCGAGGTAATCTAAGGTGCATTCACAACGATCACGTACAGGAACTCGCGATATTTCAGCCGGCTTAAGCTGTAAATTGCTATTTATGGATCACGTAGGGGTCCGCAAACGCAATCGCGCAACGGCGAAATTATCAAATCGTACTCCTCGGCGAGCGGCAGGATGATTTTAACGTGATTTCCCCGGGAACAGATTTGTAATAGGTCGATCCGCGTCGCGTATCCGAGAGCTTCCAAGCATTTCAGCGTGCCGATGCACAGCTCGGTCTCAAAGATAAAAGCGTTTCCCCTCGAAGCGAAAGTTTTCTCCTGCGAACGAAGGAAAAAAAAGAAATGTCGCCCGAATCGAAAACAGTTCCGCCTTGGTTTCAAGTGTCCAAGCGAAACGTCGAAACGATTTTGTAAAAACACGCTTCTCTCTCCGCTCCATTTTCCGCTACTTTTTTCCCCCCCTTTGCTCGAAATAAGATCTTCTATTTTGCGAGACTTTATGCCATTTGACGAAACTCCTCGGTACCTTTTATGGGCGATAGATGAAAATGTCTACTCTAACGGGGAGAGTCGACATAGCGATAAGAAATATCTTGGCCATTCACAAATTTAATTATCTTCGTAAATGTCTTTTATGCGCGGAACGGCAAATGGATCTCGAGGGGACCTTTGAAATTCCTTTCCGAAACGTAAAATTCATTTTATCACCTCCCAGTTATATCATCGCCAATCTCATTAGTTAAACGTGTAATTCCGTTTCAATTTTATCGCCTTCGATTATCCGTCGTTATCGATCCCGTCGATCGACATAATAAATACGTAATTTCTTTTCGACACAGGTAAGCCTTTTCGAGATCTCCCGTTATCATCAGTCTCATCGGTCAACATTTGTTCACTGTCCGTCTTAATTATCTGATTTTAAGGATAATTTACACCTACTTAGCTGATCTATACATCTACATAGACCAGCGATAACCTACTTTGATGACATTCCATTTTTTACTTCTCCCTTGAATCTTTAATTCTGAAAATTTACTTTGTCCCCTACTTTCATGCTAAATTAACAACAGCAGAAATTTCCGACACTATCAGTTTTAAAGTAGGAGTAAATTTTGTACTTGCAGTTCGACCTCTTTTACCGTTTTAGGTCCTACTATATAATAGAATTAAAGGTTTAACGTAGGGCCGAAATTTCGACTCGGGGGTATTGAAATTTTTCAAATTCTCGCGAAATCGCATAACGATGCTTCGGATACTTCGCCAAGTACTCGAATGCCGAGCGATTTTATACATTCTCGTCACGGCGATAGCTATATCCGGGAGGATCGCTTTTGCGATTTTTACCGGGTCACGCGACAGGCAATGAAAACCCCCGTTATCGTCGCCGAGAGACCGAGACGCAGAAGTCAGGGGCGCGTTTATCATATTATCAGCCGCGCCGCGCGCGTTTATACAATAGTCATTAAGATTATCGTTGACATCTCTCCCGCGACGGTTCCCGCGCCGCCTTTCTGTCCTAATTACTTTTTAACGCGGCCCATAAAAGGAGCCGGGCCCCGGCGGTACGGTGGTTGCTCTCCGGGCTCTTCGAGGCGGCATAATCGTAAAACCGGCCGGCCGAGCGTAATTAAGACGGCACGCGTGGGCGTTCAAACGTCGCTCGCTCTCTCGTCTTCTCGATCTCTCCTTTTTTTTTCTTTCTCTGCCTGTCTGTCTCTCTCGCCCCCCCTCTCTTCCCGAGAGACGCGACTCTTCCGTCCTTCCTTCCCTCGATCCTGTCTTCGTTCTCTACTCGAGCGAAGTGGACGAGACGCAAGGCGAGTCTGGAACGCGGCGCATCTATCCGCAAGAAGACGTCAATCAGATGTTATGATATTGTCCCGTTGCGATTTTGCAAATTCGCAATTTTGCACGTTCTGCTGCGCAAGAGAATTGGAAAATGTCGAAAGCAGTGACCACGCTGAGCGGGAATTGCGCTGACTATGTCGGTCGATGTGGGACAGTTAACGTCACACAGCGGCGTTTAACATAAATAAAGATTTCTCGATGATTCTACAAAAAAAAAAGGAAGGTATCAGCTGGCGATTTTAAAGTGCAGTTATGCAGATAAGACTGGCATTTAAAGCGTATCTGCGTTGTAACTGATTTAAATCGTTTAACTTGATGGTTTAGTGGCTCCTCTTTCATCGCTTCTCGTCGGAGGAAGATAAGGATGTTTTTCTTGGTAAAACAGCCAAGTAAACTACGGCCTTATATTGACCGATATAAAAAAGTGCAAATATTAAGAAGAAAAATTTTAAATAGCGAAGAAACTGAATAAAAGAGTTACACTTTATACAACTTCGCTACGAGGGACAGACGTAAGCATTAAAACGTAACACGCGACGATTCTACGAGAGCGTCACCCGTCAGGTTACCGTAAAAAATCCCTGAAAATCTGCAACTCCGAAAGAACCCCGCTATAAACGCCCATGATGTAATCTCCGCCGGCGTAATTCCACTGCCCGAGATATGACGTAATCGCGCGAGAAACAAGGATTATATTTGTCTAGACGGGGCAGATACAAATGGTCCCATAGGCGCGCGGTGCAAGAAAAAAAAGAAACGGAGGAGACGGGAGGATAAGAAAGAAAGAGGGCCGAATTGAGAGCCGGACGAGCGAGATGACGCTATCAGGGCGAATAAATCTCCGGCGCGAAACGCGCGCGGAATCTTATCGGGGGAAATTTCGTCCCCGGTTCGGGCGTGCACGCGAGCCTCGCGCCCTCCCCCGCCCCCGAACGGGTCCGGCTTTTACCCTTGACCCGTTCTACGGCAAGTGACGACAATGAGTTCCGCTTCTCACTCGTGGGACAAACGAGGCGGATTAGAAGATTAGGATGTTATCGCTTAACGCGCCCGCGCCCCCGGGTCGCGCTCGCTCGGCCGCTCTCGCACGCACCGAATGATATCGCGGC